AATACAGGCAACAAAAATACAACCATGACCACATTGCAGCATTTCTTCCAACAGCATTTCTCATGCACATACTCCAGATGTGGCCATAATAACCACACAGGGACTAGCCAAGGGATGATCACAATCTTTTTTTCTTCTCTCTATCAACCTCAAGTTTTTCATGTAAGTGGTAGGAATTTTTGCTTGAGAGTGCAGTACATACTGTTGGGAGTGATTACTGGCATTTTTGAAGGTTAGAAAAATAGCTGACATAAAAACACATCGTTTCATAAATTTAGGTTTTTTTATAAACTGGTATCAAAGTGATTTTTAGTTCCTTAGAAAAACACTAAACCCAAGGGTTAACACATGAGCAGAGAAGGACAGCAAAGCCACTTCAGCTTCCCCTGCCAGCCTGCCTTAGGCCTCTTCCAAAACTATAGGTCTGAGCATGTTCTCTAAGTGTTGCAGACATCAGGGCAGCTGCTCTTACATGGACACTTCAAGTATCAGCACCTACAGGATTTAAATATTCCCTACAGCACAGCAAAGGGATAGGCCAACACCCCTCAGATATTCTAGCCGCCTTCTTCCATCATCAGAAGTGACAGAACCAGCAACAATGCTAGCTCTTGCACAGGTGGTTGCAGCTTAAGGGGTTTTTTTGTTCCGCTTTTTTTTTTTTTTTTTAAACTTTGCCAACAAACTCTGCCAGAAACAGGGACACTGCCACACCACTATGAAGACAGTTGCCACAGCTGGGATTAATCACCATTTGGAAAAGCAGCACAAGGTCCCAGGGAATTAAGGCCATACCAACTCACTGTCAACAAGGGTCAAGAGCACTTACTTCGGTGAAGCCAAACATCATTCAGTCTTGCAGTACTCACACCCCAAACTATATTCAAGCCAATGTAATCGGACCAGTAGATAAGCCTTAGTGGAGCTCACAACAGAAGCATTTCAAAGTGAAGGCAGAGCTCAGGAACAGCAAAATAATTTCATCTGTGTTGCACTGGGCTAGCCAGTGTCAGCCTAAGGACCAACATTCCCAACTATGTTATCAACACAAGGCAGCAGACAACAGCTGGAGGTCAATCTGTCCCATATACACTGGTTAGCTGTAGTATGGGGTAAAGACTTCACCCTTTGACCAGGATGCACAACACCTGCACTAACAAGAAGTGGATGAGTATCTCTTCTCCAATACACTCAGTTCTCTATTGACCCCTTTAATCAACATCCTCACTGCAGTTACAGACAGTAACCTGCAATTCTCTGTACTAAACTACTCCCTACAAAACCATTTTGAATTCCAGTTTAAAGACAGCCAAGTATCTGAATTCAGTCAGAGCAAGAAGAGACACATAAAACTCACACCTAGAGCAATGAACACATTCTGCTGTGCTCAGCCCTTTTCCAAGATATGGCACCAATTCCAGAAGTTTTATGACCAGCCGTTTCTCCAGTGAACCAATGCTGTTAACAGTTATTAAATGCAACTAATGACAGATTCTCTAGAATGCTCATGAAATCCCACAGCAAAGTGAGTCATTTGCCTGGTTTCAAAACAGGGGCCTCTCAAGCCAATAACAGACCTGCAAAGGTGCAACCGCTCAAGTGGGAAATGCAGAAATTTGCCTGCTACCACCAGTAACAAATATTACATACCCAATTTAAAAAAAAAAACACCAAACCCTCCATTTTAAGAGTCTTGACACAATGTTTTTTTCCTAGTAGCCATCAGCAATCCAGTTTTACCCAGCTGAAAGTTGTGAGAAGGCAACTCTTCAGAAAGTTGTTAAAGATCAAATTCAGTTATCAAACTTCTAAGAATGAAGGCTTCTCTACTGCATTTACCCCTCCCAAGTTATGCCTGCTGAAGCACAGCTAGGAACTGATCTTTATGGCTCAAATCAAAGCCAAATTCCACCAACAGCCTGGTTTGTCCATAGCCATTCCCAGCACAGACACTAAGCCTAAGCGATCAGGAAAGCCCCAACACTGTGGAGAAGACCTGGATTCACACTTATAGACTAGACCTGTCCTTGTTTTCTGAGGTAATATTATCGGTATTAATGAGAATTTTGCTTTAACAAAGAGATTAGCTATACAAATATAAGTGAAATCTGATATTAGATACAGATATACTAGACAATTATATGATCCAAAATGTCAACTAGCTTCTGAATATCAGAGTTAATTTTAGTAGCCACTTATGTCACCTTCCTCAGATACAGTTTACAGTACCATGAATTCACACCATACTCTTGACCAGTTGCTGCCCAGTGCAGAGAGGAGCAAGTATTCTTTCATACCTCCTTCAATAAAGCATGAGGTGGCATTTTCCTCATTCTAGGAGACCTGGTCTACCAAACTGAATAACTAAGCCATAAACTTGACTTGGGTCCATTAAGTGAAAGGGAATGTAAAACATCAAGGCCAGCACTGTATTTTTAGAGCCTTTGTTTCTCTTGAGGAAGCAGCAAATTTGTGTTCCTATTGTTTGTCAGGAACTTCCTGCCTGCCCCCCTTCCAGCCTGCAACCAAATTTGATTGCATGTTTTCAGTCAGTAAGATACTACCCTCATTTTAACTTAAGCTAATGTATTAATACTACTTCATCAAACAATGCCCACAACTTCAAAATATTTTCAAAAAATCTCTAACATTCAGGAGAGAAGAGGCCTAACGGTATTTAATATATTCCAAAGCATCCATTTGGTTGCATGTTGAAAAAACTAGTAAAAGCTATTTAGATCCTAAAACATAAGAATCCCTCCAAATATCTAACACAGACATTAGTACAGATGTGACGTTATACTCAGCATCAGTCATACACAGAGTTCAGTTACAGCATAGATGGCCTCAAGTCCTCCCAGACTATGAGGAGTTGAAGGCTGCACACCACCACATATAAAGAAATCTCAGATTAGTGTCGAGACCTTGGATTTGCCCTGAAGATGTGATTGTGACAAGGACAAATGAGTTTCTTATATAACATTATCATCACAAAAAAACGTGATTTTATTTTAAGCTTTGTTGTAATTACACATTGTCAGGACCAAATGCAAAGAATGATAAGCTGTCATGACTGCTTTGTTTATATACAGTATTTATAGTCTTCAGGCAGCAAGATTTATAGTACTTAATTTCTACACTACAACAGGAACATCACTGTTTCTCCTGCTACTGCAAGCCTCAACTACTGTTTCCCATTGAAAACTCCGTGTCTTAACCTATTTTAGTTGTTGCTAGCTTTATTGGATTATGATTACACAGCTCAACAGCTAGGTCAACAAGACACCAAGCAATGTATCACATGATTCTGAATCACTTTTCTTTCTTCCTGACTGTGATCTCTCTTCAGGTACTCTTAAAAGATGTCAGATTATCAGCTCCAAGACAAAGAACTCACATAAATAAAAAGCTTTAGAGTTTCAACACCTGAAGGACCAGACTCTCAGACTGTAAATCTTGTGGGGGTGAGAAGAGAGGGAGAAAGACTAGTCCTGTCCGTGTCCTTAAACATAGTCCTTTTTGCTTATAGACTCCATATACATTTACACTGTTCAGTGGGTAACAGAGAAACCAAGGAAACCTTCAGCCTCTAGTTATGATCAAATGGAATTTCCCCTTAAAAATCACAAGTCTCAGGAATGACATCACACTGCATCAGCATCTCCAGTTCTCAACAATCAAGACACAGGTCAGCTGTCTTCAGAAATACATGATACTCTCCTACATCATCTCAAACCTGAGTTACACACTTCATTTTCCTAGCAGGCCACTGGAACTTGCACACGAGTCATCCACCTCATCTGACTTTTTCACAAGTCATTCGCTCTTTTAGGCTTCCCTAAGCAAGTCCAGAAGCAGAGTAGTGGCAATAACATGGAATAGCAGTAGGCAAGCTCTGGAAAAGAACAGCATCAAAAGGCACTACTGTAGTTAAGCATTACATCTCTTCTGTATTTTGAAGACAAAGCCAATACACAGTCTATTCTATATGTACAGAAAAGATGAAGTGTCCAGAATGAGCACACTGACATCAACTCCAACAGTTTAGTTATTTTGTCCATTATTATTGAGACACATATGCAGAGGTGCACTTTAACAGTCCTCAATGGTTTCAGCCTGGTTTATACTGCACAGCTTTCAAATCTGGCAAAAGATGTGTACAAGGAAACAGCAGAACAGCTACCCTTCTCACTAAAGAGTCTAAATATACACAATAGGGTGTATACAGAAATTCTATTTAGAGTAACTGAATTCACTCCTGTGGCTTTCTAGCAGCATCCAACATGTACCTAAGTCTGCAAAAGTGCTCAGCTGTCGCCACCCTGGTTTTAGGGGAGCACTATTACAGCAGAGGAACACTGATGGTCAGTTCAAGGATGTAACTTAAGAATTGCACTATCTGTGAGAAATTGCTGTCATTCCTGCACTTAAGCATCTTAGAGAGTTCAGAACAAACAACTCCTTTAACACCTAAGAACAAGTACACAGCATGAGAAGTCTACCTTCAAGATAAGCACAAGTTTATCTTTTCTAATTAATAGTATATCAATTTGAGGCTTACATTCTAGCATTAAAGATATTTCTTTGTAACGATTTATGTGCTGGCAGCCCCTGTAAGAGGTTACTTGCTTTAAACAGGTTTTATACCCTAAAACATTATTTCAGTTTCAGCAAACCCCTTCACATGCACACCCCACAACCCCACCACAAAAGAACCTTTTTACTACATGTATCTCCAAGTGCTATCACAGCCTTCGAGCACAATTTCTTCTTTAAAAAAAAAAAAGAGGGTGGCAGGGAAGCAGCCTCTGGCCAGGAGGGATAGAGAAGGTAGCCGTATTGTCATTTCATAAGGAAAGCATGACTGAAAGTACCTTTACACAAACACAATTTCCCCTCCATTTCCTTTAGCAAGCTTCTTTTTGAACCACCAGCCCCTGCACTAGCTGAAATGTTATAGCAATCACCACAGAGCAATAAGCAGAGAACAGAAATCTCACCTGATAGTAAGTCTTAATGTTTCTGACTAAGATGGTCAGGTTTTGAACGCGAAGATACGTGTCATTATTTACGTGCTTGTTGACACGTTGGTTGGTTGGTCGAGGATCTCTATTAAAAGAAGAAAAAGAAAACAAAGCATTACTGGTTTACTCAGTGCTAAGACTTAGCATCTCCATAATGCACCATTAGGAAAACCCTTAAAAATTTACCCATTAACGAGCTGACATAATTATACAGTATACATATACGTTAATTCATGACAGAATAAGCTCATTACCTTTGCACCTATAAGTTGGAAATCTTCCTGTGTGCCACAAAGTATCCTACTTCAGCTTAACCCACACAGCAGTTGGAGGCAGCTTCCCTCCTTACTTTTATCTCCCCAAAGAAAAGAGCATATTTAGTTTGTGCACACTAGATCAAAGCAGTCTCTGATAATAATGGATTTATCTTATTCAAATAAAGGGAAGCCTAGGAAAAACTACCATGCCTTCCTCGGCTTTCGAGTCTTATGACAAGAGGAGGGTGTTAACACTTGATCAATGGTCACTGTGTAAAAACTGCAAAACCCAGATGCATTATATGCTGTAGTGAAGGGAAAAAGGAGCACTACACTTTTATTATACTGGTTTCATCTAACTAGACCTCTCTCATATACCCACTGTGTCACAGAAGACAGCTCTACTGGGCTCTCATTTTACTGGGCTTCAAGATATGAACAATATATAAACATAGGCAGAGATGTAAGCAAGACAGGAAAAAAGTTGGTGGAAAGATTTTAAGGAAAGAAGCATAAAGTTTTTGTTTGATTTTAAAGGAAGCAAATAAAAATTGTACCTGAAGCAATTTTATTTCTAAAATAAAAAATAAAACACAGGAAAAAAGCTGCTAATAATTTAATTAGAATGTGCACCTTCAGATTTTCTGTGTACACCCTAACATGTTGCAAAAGAAGGAACCTGAAAACCTTTATCTGTCAATAGCATTGATCAAAGCTCTGCGTCTCCCCTCTAATAAAGACTCTTACCAGCAAACCCCTACACAATCCAAACACCTGCCTCCCAGAGCTCTGCTTTGGTTGTTAATTAAGCCATTCACAGCTCTTCCAGGGCCAAAGATTGAACTCTGGCACTGACAAGGAAATAAGAGGAACTGATCCAATATTTATTTTTAAAATATATCTGCCAATGCACAACCATCCCTCTAGTAAAAGCAGTGCTATGTGTATAAGTATGACAGAATACACACATATTCCACAGATGATACAAAACTGCCTTGGCAGCAGATAACATTAGACACAGTATTTATGTACCAGGGTTCAAGCAAACTGAAGTATACATGACCAAAACTGCCACTAGCATAAACTAGCAAGACCCTACACAACCTTCACAGCAGCACAGGATTTTGTATACCGATTGGCACTGTAATAAATTTTGAAAAAAAGCAAACAAAGACAGGCAACTGTAACAAGCTTTTAAAGTAAAATCTGTAATAAGTATTCCATTTTACTGATGCTCAGACACAGGCGCACAGAAGCCATACCCATACGCAGCTTGACAGTACGGGTCTTCAGCACCACAGCAAGTTGGAGAAGCATAAATGGCACCTGGGCTTGAACTTGGAGAGTACCTTGCCTTCAGTACTCTCTGAGCAGATGTTGGGTCCTGAAGGAAGCTGGATGCTTAGTCTTTTTAGGCAAGGTCACAACAACAAACCAGGAAGCTAAAAGGGAAGACATGTACAGTAAAGGGAAGACACATACAGTAAAGGGAAGCTGGCCAAACAGAAGGCTCAACCTACAGTTCTTGTTTCCATGTGAAAGCTAATGTAGGCAGCACCACTGCCATGCCACTGTCTGGCAGTGACCCAGGTCTACTGCCAGGAAGAGAAAGCTTTGACTATATAGGAGAGCAATACTCCACGACCCTTCCCAAAACTGCACAAAATGGGGCAAAAATCCACAAAACACACCCACCAGCCACAGCAAAGGAAAAGCGATTTCTTCAACAGCTGTAGGCAGCGTAACTGCAGGGCTTGGATAATGTTTTCAGAAGCACTTAAGACAGAGCAACTCCTCCTTCCAAGACAAGACCTGCTCATCTTTTGGCACAGCAGAGCTAGTCGTCCATTACAAGAACATAAGCGTTGGCAGGACGGGGCCCTCAGAAGCAATTCTGGAGCTTTTATCCTATCATCTTCATTAAGGGTAACTGGTTGCCCCAAGAGCCCTTAATGCCACTGACCTCAGGGTCCTCTTAACCTGGAACCAAACCGCAGCACACAGTGTCACTCTGGCAGTCCAGCCTCCTCCTCCTCACAGACAAGCAAGTTAAAAGCTTTCCTGAAAGCAGAATGTCACTCAAAAATATGATGGTTTGGATTTCTGAGTATGTCGTGTAACCAACTTCGTCCAGCACATCAGCTCACTTGAGAGGACCGTTTGCGCAAGATGTGAAAGGCCAGCACAGCTGACACTTCAAACTACCACAGGGCTTACTGTCTCCACAGGGAAAACTAAACAATTCCTTCTCAACAAGCAATATCCCATTTCTTCTTCATTTGTTACCGTATCTTTTCTTAATCCTGGATCAGATAAGCTCGACTACCGACCACAGCTGTCCTAGCTCCACAGCCAAGAACTTGGAGGAGCCACAGAAGGTTGCTCTCGGAGGCGCTGGGAGGTTCCCAAAAAAAGACAGATTTATTCTTTTCCATTTACCAGGTAAGTTCAGTTTTATCCAGCTGAACTGGCAAAACACCTTTTGACCTAATAAGCACGGAGATGAACACTTGTAAGAATCAAGGGTTCAAGGCATGTGTTTATTCAGAAAGAATATATTTCTTGCATTTTTCAAACGTCTTCTGCGTCAGACCTCCCGCCTAGAACAACCGTGTCGCATTACGCAAGGTCAGCTGGATCCCTCCTGCTGCTGCCGCCTCCTCCAGGTCACTCACCCAGCTCCTGAGACATCTCGGGGGGATGTGGCAGGGCTGAGACTGAGGAGCCAGGAGAGGCAGCAAACGGCCCTCCTGCTGCAGGAGCTGACCCAGACCCAAAGGGGAGCAGAGAGCAGCCCAGAGCTGGGCAGGCCTTGCCGCAGGGGGGACGGAGCAACACCCCAAGGCTGAGCAGGCCCAAGGTTACCTGCACTCAGGGAAGGAGGGAGCTGCCATTCCCAAAGCCACAGACGCTCTCCGATCTCAAGAGAAGTGAAAGAAAAAGGCGAAAAACCTAGAGAGACCGAGGTACTCAAAACACTACAACCTGAACAGCCCGATCTACGGCAGGGAAAAGCAGGAAGGGGAAGCAGAGACCGGAAGGAAAAAAAGCACCTGAGTAAAATTACACCATAAGATGCAAATTCTGTCTTTAAAAATGTTTCTGCCCTGAAGAAAAAAGAGCTGTAGGTACCACACTCCACACATAATAGCACCTGTTTGGTTGGTGAAACTTGGTTTTGAAGAATTTTACAGAAAGAAACTCTTTCCAAGGTTCATATTGAAAATTGAATAGGTTTTTTGCAACACTAACCAGTTAACCCAAACAAATTCCTGTTTTGAACATATCTGAAAAATCCCTGAACACAACCTCAATGAGATGCTTTTTCAGTCTTTTGCTGTTTGGTCTTTCCCTTATACACAAATACAACAAAAACTACAATTCTCTTTTTTTAAAAACCACCTGCTCCTCAAGATCAGAAATGTTACCTAAATAAGACTGAGGCGGCATGACTAAGGGAGGTACTTCACAAACCAGTAAAACACACCCAAGCAAAATAAACAAAAGGAAAGTCTCAAACCTCACTATATACTCAAACATTTTAAAGAAGTCCTCTGGTTTGTACTCCTTCATGGCTACAGGAGCACAGAGGAAAGGAAGGGCCAGGAGACAGAGGCCAAGCGACAAGTTCAGCAGACGTGGGACCAGCAGCACAAGGACTTGAAGATGCAAACCCTTAAGCGACCAATTAATAAAAGTAACAAAAAAAAAATTTCATTTGTAAAATGCAAAGTGACAATCCCATTCGAGCAATTTCTGACAAGTAACTTTGATGAGTAATGGGGAAGCCCACAAGCCGGGCCCAAGGGTTATGAGATGCCAGAAGGAATCAGCTGTGCCTGGTGTGTCCAGCACCCCACGGCACTTCGCTCTGCAGGTAACTCACTAACTGGACACATACCACTCTTCAACCAGTCTAACTCTCCTATCATCCAACTTCTTCCTCTAGCAAAAAGTGGGGTGACGCCACTAAGGCTGGCAGGGTTTCTAAATTGCCTGGAAATGGTAGAAAAATGCACCTCTAAAGGAGATTTTAAATTAAATGGATGTGTATCTTTAACCTTCCGGTATTCATGCCATTTGCTACAAACCACAAGAAGCGGGCACTCACAACATGGCTGTTCCTGTCACATGGTCTAAATTAAAGAAGACAGATTGACAGTACCACAAACCATGACAGCTGCAATTGAAATGAAAAACACTATTATCGTGCAGTTTTATTATGTGGTTTTAATACAAGTAGTTTTATCAGCTGTATTCCTAATACACATTCCTGTTTGCTAAGTGTTTTAACAGAAAAGCAGAGCCTACTATCAATCAGAAGAATTAGAACAAGTCAACATGAAAACACTTATGTGCCTGCATTACGTAAAACCCCCCACCATTTCCCAAATAAAACTTTGTATAAGTTAAACAGGGCAAATATTTGCTTATGCTTGTAGGTATTATGCCACAGCTGCAACTGTAACACTGAAGGCAGTCTATGCAGTGTCACCATATGCTAGTTTCATACCAGGAAGTGACACACAATCATCTGAAAAAAGTTCTTTAAAATTTGTCCACAGACAAGCTCATTAACTTGATACACAAACCCACCAGAAACACAGAAGCTCAGGACACGGCAGTTCCACTCTGAAGATTAACAAACATTTTTGTACGCAGATTATTCTGCCAGTACTGCAAGTCTGCAAAAATCAACGTGTCCTTCATGCATGATCAGGTTGGGGTATACACTTGGACAGAACACAGGAAAAGGAAACCATTCATTTACAGCAAAATGACTTGAAAATACATTTGTCTTGGTTTAAAATATAAGTGGGGAAACCAAACGCTGCTGTCTGTCTCTTCCTATTAGATTTAACTTGTTAAGCAGCTAGGCACCACTACTGAGAACTAAGTAATCCCCAACTCTTTTAAAAAAGGGTCTTGCTTTGTTAGGGATCACCAGTAAGCAAAGGGATCACCAGCCAAGCCCAACAACTGGTTACCTACCGACCACATTGTGGCCATAATCTGCCTAAGCCCAAGTCAGGTTCCCTGCCTCAGCCCTTGCACGGCTACATTTGGTGTGCCTGAGCAAACTACAATTTATTCAGCACTAGCATTCCTGGGGGCAGTTCATTTCTGAAGAGGATGGAGCGAAGGCACAGCCCTATTTTCACCTCCTGTCACACAGCCAGCAGGGAGCTGGCAGGCAGGCAAAGCGATAGATGTCACCTACCTCTCTGGTGACACAGCTGCCTTGCTGATATGAACCTACCACCTAAAAAACATTGACACCACAACATCAAGCAGTTGGGATCTTCTCCACCCACTCCAAGCTGCCAGACAGCATTTGGGCAAAATCCAACCCATCACAACAGAAACTATAGGCTGAGTGAACCCATACAGCCTACTCACACCTCAAACAGCTAAAGCCTTACTTTCATTCAGCAATCTCCACTGAACAGGTATATCTGGATTTTTTCACAAATCCACCTGTCTTTTTGGCCATGGATTAAACTTAAGTTCTGCTTCGCTGCAGGAAAAAAATGTTTTATTTTTAATAATGAAATTCAAGAAATTAGCTTTTGAAATCTTCACTGAAAGAAACCTGTTGATCTGCAGCAAAGTACTGCATCACACCTGGTGTTTAGATGCAAGCTCATGCGCCTGTGCTATTTGTGTTCCAGTAAGCAGGCAAGCAGGGTATTTAACCTAAAAAACTAAAAGTGAAATAACACACGAGTGAGGAGACAGCCATACACATCAAGAGCCCAGTTCTTTCACCCTTCTATTCCCTGCTCTCTGCATATGTGTGCATGCATGCATCTGTGCTTTAGGCAATCAACACTACCACAGCATGGTGTATCAAATTCTAGCCTAATGGACCTCATTAATACAATTTGAGCAGGAAAAAAAGGTCTCAAGCCAAGCACTGAAAGTCATCTTCAGAGATGAGGACTTGAAAAACTGATGAGCAAGCATTTCAAATAACATTTATTTTTCTATTCTGAAAGCTTTGTGGGGCAGAAACACGCCTTGCAAGGCTTTCCTGATTTACAGGCAAGCAGTAATTGCATTGCAATTTCTAAAGGTTAAGTCAGGAAAAAGTGAAGGTCACAGTCAGCACCTCTCCTGAGCGCCTTGCTCGGTTGGGATACATAAATACAACTGCAATCCTTCCTAAATTAAACAGCCTTGGGCCCTTGGTTTCAAGCTCCTTAGACAACATTGGAAGCACTGCCAAAGCTGCCTAAAAAAGGGTAAAAAAAGCCCTGATGGCATATAATGGGACAGTTTCCTATTCCACACTGCTTGTGCTTTCTCCGCTTACACCTTCTGCGACACTGCTAGCAGAGATGGTTTTTGGAAAAAAACAAACTTATTTTCCTGATTGCTTAAGGCAAGTAAACATGCCAGGGCATTTCTCACAAACACATGACATCCTATGAAATGCCAACTAGTGTCATTGCACTCAGTCAGCCTATATCCTTATCTTTGTTATTTCAATGAGATCTTATCATTCACTCCTTGTCCCCAGAGCATTGTTAAGTTGCTCCATAGACTTCAACGATTTTATGTCTCCCTAGACATACTTCGCCGATCAACTACAAAATACTTAAGCTTACATACACCACCTGATCAAGCACTTCTAAAATACATCACTCATAAGAATGCCACAGCCATTCAAAAGCCACATAACTTCAGCCTATTTAATAACAAAATTCAAGAGCAACCAAGTATTGCTTTTTCTTGTTTTGAACTAATAAGATTCTTTCACATATTAGACAACAATGATAGTTCAGTTGGTTAAACCTGCAGCAGACTCAACTGCTGCTGTTCCTTGATAGTTTGGTTGGTCATCTCCGTGCCAAACACAATGGTCATAAATCAAAATCCAATTTCCCACATCTTGGAAAACTACAAGTCTGGATCTGAATGCTCATACTCAAGGCTCTAATTAGCAGAAAGATCTCTTTTAAAGTGTAATTACTCCTTGAGAAATGCTGGAAATTATGTCTTCTCTTTACATTAGGTTTCCATCCCAGCTAACATTTTACACCACTAGTTTGTTATCCCCAAGTGGGCTGACTGATCTGGATTCTGATCCAAATCATGAATCTTCACTATCTAAGTTCCAGTTCACAATTTCCACTGTTAGTAACACCAAAACAGAAGAAAATTTGATACCTTTTCAGATGGAGCAGCCAGGTACCATAAGATAACAAAACTTGCCAACTTGAGTGGGTGGGGCATGGGTTGTCAGACTTCTTTTTTTTTTGAAGTTACTTTTCAAGAATTTCAATTAAAGATTCTATTATGAATTCCTCATTTAAGTTCTTCAACTTGGCCTAACATTGCAAATCACTGGTCAACCTTCAATTGATTTCATTCACTTAAGAATGCAGCGCCAAAATCGAGTGATTTCCAAAGTCTCCTCCCCTGACAGTCAAATACTTCTCCCTACAAACTCCGTATCAGACATATTTCAGAATATTTAAAAGCAAATACAGAGATGATAGAAAACAGTCAGGACCTGCATGCAGCAGACCAGCGACAGGAAAGGATGTGGTTAAAAAAATAGACAAGTTCTACCAACAATTCACTTCAGTATTTTCAGGGCTCGCTCTTTTAACCCATTTATATGTTTCCTCAGGACATATCCTTACAGTACTGCCCGAAAGAGATATCACTGAAGCTGGGTTGTGTTTTTTTCCTAAACTATGTATTTAATATCGAAGTTTACGCAAGAGTAGACACACTTCAGATGAAGTCCTCCCAGTAAAGCTTCACATGATGAAGTACTTTCATTTCCTTATTTGTAGTGCCACATACCTTCCCCTAAAGCATATGTGAACAACTAAGAAAAAGTAACTGTTTGGAACAAAACAAAAAAAGCAAAAAACACGTGCCACCCAAAAAAACCCAGAAAAGCGTTGAAGCAGATTTTATGGAACCGGATTGGTTTGGGGTTTTGGCTTCTTCCCCTCCTTTGTTTTTGCCAATTTCAAAGACCAACCAAAAGGAGAAAAACGCAAAACCGGTGCTTTCGCCCCGTACCCTGTCCTTCCAGCCTGTCCGCTGCGAAAGCTTCCCGATCACAGCGGGACACCCCGCGCGGCACCCGCCCCCCCCCCCCCCGCAGCCCCGACCCCACCGGCCGCCGAGGAGCCGAGGGGCGCTGGGCGCTGCCGCCCCCCGGGCGGGCCCGGCCCCGCGCAGCCGCGGGGCTACCACCCCCTCCCTCGGGAGCCCACTCACATTTGCAGCATGATTTTGTTGAGGACGACGCCATCCACCAGGTCCATGTAGACGCCGAGGTTGTCCCCGTCCCCGCTCCCCAGCGCCCCGAAGGTTTTCACCTGCCGGGAGAAGGACAGCGGGGTTGGTGGGGTGGCGGCAGGGCCCGGCCGCCCCCTTCCCCCCGCACCGGGCCGGGGCCGCCCCGCCGGCAGCCTCCCCGCTCCCCGCCCCCCTCTGCTCACCCAGGTCACCAAGGGGCTCTGCAGGAAGAGCTCCAGGAGCTCGGAGACGGTCACGTCCATGTCGCCGGGGCCCGGCTGGCGGCGGCGGGAGGCTGCGGGAGCGGGGCCGGCTCACTCGGGAGACAAAGGCGCGGAGCCCATGGCCGGCCGCCCCGCTGCCCGCCGGGCGCTGCCTACAGGGGAAACAATGCGCGGCTCATCGCTCCCCCGCCCCCGCGCCGGGGGGAGACGCGGGGCCGCTCGCCGCCGCCGCGGTCCCTCCTCCCGGCAGCAACAGGCCGGTCTTCCCC